TCTGCATCTACATCCGCCTCCAAGATAATGTTAATAAAACAGGACTAAAACCAGTGCACTAAAACAGAAGCGATAAATAAACAGGGAAAAAGGAGGAATCTTCTCCTCCATGTTAAACTTAGACCAAATATTACAGAAACAAGGTTATCGCGGATAACCGAACTTAATTACGGGCTCACCATATCCCGTACTACATGGACACTTCGTTCTGAGTAGCTAAATCTGAAACAATAACATGTGTAAATTAAGTCTTTGAAAGTGTAATAAGCATTACGAGACGCGTTCAGGCGTCAATTAAAAAAAATGAATTTTGGAGAATTGATATCTTTATTACCACTGACAATGAAGAAAAATATAAGAAATATTGAGAAAATTCGTGTTAGAATTATTAATCTTACCTTTTCGGTCATATTCAACAACATATGTTTACAAGAAAGACTGCTACCAATATATATATATATATATATATATATATATATATATATATATATATATATATTATATATATATATATATATATATATATATATATATATATATATATATATATATATATATATATATATAAGGATTTGGTTAACAGCATCAGTGTAAAGGAGGTTGTTAGAGAAGCGGAGAGGAGATTTATAGAGAAGTAAGCAGCTTTACAAACTAAATAGGATCGACTGATTTGCATCTAGCTGAAAGGAGTTATGTTCACCACCTACTGGACATAACTCCTCTCGGCTAGTGAATATAACCTTGTGAACTGCTTGTGACATGACTGGACATTAATATTTGTCACAGACTTCTAGAGACGTCACTGGACATTAACGAGAAAATTCGTTAGTTATCGTAGTGCATAGGTCAACATTTAATAATTGCAACAAAAAATAAAACAATTTGGATACAAAAATACAACAACATACAATCTTTTACACAATGAAAATACAATCACGTGATATATCTATGAGCAAACTCTTGAGAGCGTATCGTGGTCCGTGGGTTAAGGTGCGTGTCTGGGGTTGACCCCTGGGACGATGGGTGCCATCCTCCTCCTCCGGCTCCAAAGATGTTCTCAGTCTTCTCCTTCTAGTTGCTCCTGAACTTCTAGGGATCTTGGCGACATTTTATATATTTTTTAGAGCGCATTATTATTTCACTCGAGTAGCAGCAGCATCGAGAGAGCGAGAGATATAGAGAGATTGAGAGAGGGAGAGAGGTCTACCTCACAGTAGACCAGACCCAGGTCTTCTGGGCCTAGTCTACTGTGAAGTACCAGGTTTTCTGGGTCTGGCCTACTGTGTGGTACCAGGTCTTCTGGACCTGGTGGACTCCACTCATCTCAGATATTCAAATTCAAGGACTATTCATAAATGTTTGAACATTTATAGCTGGGATACATTACACAAAGTGACATAAAATTATTTACTCAAGTCATAAGAATAACGTATAAGTAATTATATCTTGTATATTCAACATTTAGATTTAGAAGCTACATTTATCAGTGATTTAAAAATTATTGCAGTTGTCAAATTGAGAATCAAACCTCACAAACTATCCTGCGAGACGGAGGCTTCGAACCAGACTAATCACCGGAACTATGTTACTCCTCACAGTTTAGGAAGACTAGTTAATAACACCCTTTGTTCCTTGTCTGTCTGTCTTTTTTTCAATCCCCGACCGTCCAAGTGGTTGGGCACCATTCCTTTTCCCCCGTCCATCCCAAATCCTTATTCTGACCCCTTGCCAGTGCTATATAGTCGTAATGGCTTGGTGCTTTCTCCTAATAGTTCTGTCTCTGTTTTTGTCTGCGTATCTGCTTATCCTTCTCTCCTAATATAAACCCGTCCGCTGCCACACTCCCCACCTGTTCAGCCACGCATCTATTGTATGCTTAAATGAGTAACAACAGCGGGCCGAAGCATTTTTGTACCGCGGCCCTCAAAAGGGAGCAGCTATGTGACGGCGCCAGAAAAAAAAAAAAGATCGTACCACACACAGGGCCCATATTTTTGTGGCTGGCTTCGATAAGTGTGTTTTTTAACTCTTTTGTATGGCGTGATAAAATGCACTACTCTTCAATACAATCCCCCCGAAGACCATAACAATGTTAGGTAAACAACATGTGAAAAGTTCGACGACTTTTCAAAGTCCTTGTGGGTGGCAGCTAGGTCACCTATTCTGTTGTGATTCTATGCGTGATATCGTTGGATATCTAGCATATCATTAGAAAAAAAAGCAATACAAATAATTAGCTGGCTCTGGTGGCCAATAAAAAAAATATGCCAAATTATGTTTTATTCACAGTATAAAACCCTCGCCGCTACATCTATATTCTAAAGTTAAAGTGATTTGATATAATAATTTAGAAGAGACGGTGGTGGTCTTAATATTTTCTTATCAGGGGAGTGAAAGTCAAGGAAGAGTAGATTATCGTGATCACAGCTGCAGGTGTGTGGTCACAGCTGCAGGTGTGTGGTCACCTCCAGCATGAGACCTCCCGGCACGAGACCTCCCAGCACGAGACCTCCCACAACGAGACCTCCCAGCACGAGACCTCCAACCACGAGACCTCCCAGCACGAGACCTCCCAGCACGTGACCTCCCAGCACGAGACCTCCCAGCACGTGACCTCCCGGCACGAAACCTCCCAGCACGAGACCTCTCAACACGTGGCCTCCCGGCACGTGGCCTCCCGGCACGAGACCTCCCGGCACGAGACCTCCCAGTACGAGACCTCCCAGTACGAGACCTCCCAGCACGAGACCTCCCAGCACGAGACCTCCCAGCACGAGACCTCCCAGCACGAGACCTCCCGGCACGAGACCTCCAGCGCCGAGACCTCCCAGCACGAGAACTCCCAGCACGAGACCTCCCAGCACGAGACCTCCAAGCACGAGACCTCCAACCACGAGACCTCCCGGCACGAGAAAAGAAACGGGAATTCACAATTCACTTTGCAAATTACGCACAAACAGAGATAGGGGCGAAGATACGCCCTCATCACTAATCAGTCATAAATACTTGTTCGCGAAACATTCTTACAACGCGTAGCATTTTATTCCCCGCGACATTCAACAGCTTAATTAAAACCCTCTACTGGAATCGGTCTAGGTTCGTACGCATATGGACGGTTAAAGCGTACAGATTAGACGCTTGTCATTTCGTAATAACAGGCTGCGATATATAATGAGGAAATAAGACTCCAGTGTAAGGAGTTCTTACGCACCTTTGATAGTGCACACTTAACTTGATCTGGTCACATTTTCGTCTTGACAAACATCTTGAGTACGCATACAAGTAAATGCATCTTAACAACCAACACCTGACGAACGCCAGGAATGTCGTCGACTACCCATCGCCAGGGCCCTCGAGTACTGGACCTGGAGGGGAAGGAGCCCCCATCGCCAGGGCCCTCGAGTACTGGACCTGGAGGGCAAGGAGCCCCCATCGCCAGGGGCCCTCGAGTACTGGGCCTGGAGGGCAAGGAGCCCCCCCATCGCCAGGGGGCCCTGGAGCAGGGAGGGGAGCCGGGAGGGACAGGGGCCACCTGAGGGCGGCCCACACAGATGAAAGGTACACATGCGGGTGAATGGCCACAGAATGAAACCCAAACACGAGCTTCTTTAACCCCCCCCCCCCCCCTACCCGCACTTCCTTTCACACAGGAAAGCCACCAATTTACTGTCCACTTGAGTGACTTCTTGATACCCGTCTTCTTCTTCCCTGATGGCTTCCTCCATTACTTTTGAGTCAAACATTGCCGCTCCAATATTGGCTATTGCAGGAGCAACATCGACGCTCAGTATTGCAACACTGACTGCAGACGTATTTTTTGCGCTAATCAATTAATGAATCACTGATGCAACTTGAAATGCCATTAGTATACAGGAGTCAAGATACCAAAACTTGAAAATTAAAATGGAAGAAAACTTGAAAGCAATTTAATGGCGTTGATATGGGAGAGGGAACGGAAATACAGCCTTTGATCTCAGACTTCATCATACTCTTTATACTCACATCTCATCGTCCACACCGATGTATACAAGACTGAGAGCGTGTCTGTGTACCGAGTGGGGAAGTGGCTCTGATATCTCCAGACCTACGTTCGAATCCTACAAGCAGTGCATATTTCAATTCCAAATTGGTATCAGCAAAACCGAGAAGAGATGCAAGAATGTTTGCTCTTTCGAAAACAATTAGCAACATAATGAATTATGTACATACAAACAAAGTGCCATCAAAGAATATATGCGTATATACCAATTTCGAAAGTTAAGGTAGTTTTTGGGTACTGTTCTCTAATATATACAGAAGCGATTAAGTTCATAAGTGCACTTGTGAGTGACGTGAATGTTGATCTCATCAAGTGTTCTATTCAGATTAATGTCTGGTATACGCGCAGGATTCTAATAACCACAGGATGTAGAGTGTTGCTTAGTGCTTGCTACTCAAACATACACAAATTTTCTGCTTTTGGGAAATGAGACGACCCCCAGTTGCTCTAGATAATAAATTACATGATGCCTCCCAAACAACTTTGAGCCCAAAGCTGGAAAGCTGATAACTTACAAAACACTGATATCCATCTACACACAAAAATTCATTCGTTCTGATCTCCAAAGCGATAGAAAATGGTTAACTCCGTCATCAATTATGAAGCCAGCATGGAGGCACTCAACTGCGTCGCGAGGCCCGGACCTATGCAAATATTAGCAAGAGAGCAATGGCAAATATAATAGCGGCACCCCCATTTCACCAAGTTTCAGGACAGTCAAGGTAAATTAATCGTCTGGAAAGATTGGGGATTGATTAAGATTAAGCCAACCAGGAGGTGGCACGGGCATAAATAGCCCGTAAGCCTGGAAAGGTCATATCGACTCTATTTCTGAGCGGTTGTTGAAGCCAGTTTTCCTTCCCCGGGGAGGAAGGAAGACTAGTAATATTGCCATCCAGTCCACCCTTCTGGAGGAACTGAAACAAGAATTATATTCAAATGATGTGAACTTCAATCCCAATGTACCTTCTTGTATATATATAAATAAAATAAATAAAAATAAATACTCGCTGGAGTGAAGAGAGTATCTACAACGGCACTAATGATTGACATAAAGGACCTCATCATAGCCCTTGAGCACCCACCATACGGCCCTTACAACCCAGCAATTGACCTCTACTCGTATGACCCGTTTCAAGGAAGTGTGTCTGGCAAATATCACGTCGACACCTGATGACAAGGTTAAAGAAATGGTGGAAAAATGAAATCGCGTACGATCACACGTAACCTTGGGAAAGGGCCCACTACAGTCTCGTATATACCTCGCTTACAATCGTGTTTTACTGTAGATACAACTGTCCACCTATCATCAGTCCTTAACAAATGCATTTTGGTAAACAAAAATATATATATATATATATATATATATATATATATATATATATATATATATATATATATATATATATATATATTGTTTTCCGTAGAAATGAAGCAGAAGGGTACATCCACAAAACGCACCAGCTTACAACACCAGCACTACAACACTACAACACCAGCACTACAACACTACCACACCAGCACTACAACACTACCACACCAGCACTACAACACTACCACACCAGCACTACAACACTACAACACCAGCACTACAACACTACCACACCAGCACTACAACACTACCACACCAGCACTACAACACTACCACACCAGCACTACAACACTACAACACCAGCACTACAACACTACAACACCAGCACTACAACACTACAACTGTTATACTCAAATTCTGTCAGTTGAAATGTAACCAATCACAGGCAAGTAGGCCTCTGACGTCATGCCAGACAGAGGAGCATCAGGCATGCTCCCAGCAGCCTCAGTTATCCTCACAGACCCAGAGTAGGTGGACCTCGGCTGGCCAGTTATACACCTGTTTGCCTCACTCAATAAATATATACAGAAGCGACTACTGTGTCTACATTCAACCCGAACAAGGCAAACGAATACTGGTAGCAGCAGTGGGATCCAGAAATTTTTTTCTGGAAGCAAAAGTTCCAGTACCCAGCATCGCCTCGTGTTCCAGCCAAAACCGCCGCCACCGCCACCGCCATAAGCCGCCATCCTGCCACCCACGCATCAAATATTGTGCCAGACCGGGGTCCTGCCATCAACCACTACTCCAGGCTAACGTTTCAGAAGTAAGGGTCAATATTTTCCTGTGAGAACGCTCACTCATCAGTGAGGAGGAAGGAAGCTTCCCGCGCCAGCCATTTTTGAACCTCGCGCCACCACGTGGGAACCACCTATTACACCCACCACCACCACCACCGCCACCCAAGCTGACAGTATCAAGCTTCGTGAGGGTGCAAGCTACTGCAATCGTCGTCAGCCATCGTCGCAAGTATCAACTGGTTATTCCATCGTCGCAATATTGTCGTCGTCAGAATTTATCTTCGTGCTTCTAGCGTGAACAGTGTGGGGTCCCTGAGTCTCGCGCCACCGCCGCCAGGAGCGCTGCCGTCGCATCCAGTTTGTAAACACGCCTCACATGGGCCTCTTCCGATCTTCACGACGCTTCTCCTTCTTTGGCTACTGGTGATCCTCATAAATTACAACCCTGAGATAAGTAATTGCTAGTTGAGAACAGCGTGCCAAGTGTTAAAAAGTGACTTATGTAATAATTCCCATAATATCCTGTGAATTAACCATTCAGTGACTTGTTAAATATTGGAGCCGGTTTAGTACTCCAGAGGCCCACAGTTTCTCTGAGACATTTCAATATTCCCTGCATATGATTCCATTATTCATTAATTGTTACTAGTGTCATTACTGAATTCAAAGGTGAGAGAAGTAAGAAATAATTGTTCTAGCAGTTTATTTTTGCATAAAAGAAATTTGTTTTTGAGATTTCCATAGACAATAGAACATAGAAATTTTTTTTTATATTTCTCCAGACCTAACTTGAAATTTATCCTTTAAGCATTTTAATTTAAACTTTTACCATAGGAGTTATATACATTCCTGTGTCCAGTTTATGTGCTACATCCATATTTCTTGCATTGCCACTTGTTGTGTTGAATCTTTTTAATGAAATTTTGCAATTGCATTTCCCAGTTTTTATTCTAAATTGCTGTGCTTAGTCTGGTTTAATTAATTTACATACATCTAATTCCAGTCATTTTTTTAATGAAAGATTGCTAAATTTAGTTTACAATTTGCTTGTTCTTAATTATTTTCTTGCCTAGCCCAATTTAATAATTTTATTTCTGCCATTTTTACTTTAGCCAAGTTGATATTTTTTTGTGTTTATTTTGTGTATACTATTTCTGATGCCAGGTGCACTTAATTATAATCTGCGTTCAAATATTACTTCCACGGCTGTGACAATGCCTACCACTGTTGAAACCCCTTCAGAATCAATGGGAACAGTTGCTTGTCCCAATGGCCAGAGATCAGCTCAGGAAATGGCTATTCCTCTTTTTGCTGGGGAATCGCGTTTATTAGAATCATGGTTTAGTAAGGTTGAAGCGAAAACAGTTGCACGTTTTTCTAAGCCTACTGATGCCGAATACTTAGCAATTGCACGGTCAGCCGTGGACACAACCAAAGGTGATGCACGTTTTGTTGTTGATGAGAAAGCCATTGTTAGCCTCCAGTCTTGGCCTGAATTTAAGGATTTCTTTCGCCGTCGCTTTGTTAATAAAGGAGACCTTGACCCATATAGGTTAGTCAAGAAAATTGCCAATGCCACCATGCAGCCTGGTGAATCGTTTAATGCGTTTACTAGCCGTCTCGATCAGTATCTGTATGCCTTAGTTTCTGCTATGAATAATTCAACTTGGTTAGATAAAGACAATAATCTGTCCCCTGAGGCTATGGCCAAAATGATAGCATTTGGTACTTTAATGCATTTTGCCCCCGAGCATACAAAACCAATCGTTGAGCAACAAAATTTTGGTGTTAAACATGAAATTGGTGAAGTGTTTG